GTTCCTGCTCTGTCCCGACTGTTTATAGTCAGTGGATGCCGATCCTGCTCTGTCCCGACTGTTTATAGTCAGTGGACGCTGTTCCTGCTCTGTCCTGACTGTTTAGTTAGTGGACACTGATCCTGCTCTGTCCCGACTGTTTATAGTTAGTGGACGCTGTTCCCGCTCTGTCCCGACTGTTTATAGTCAGTGGATGCTGTTCCTGCTCTGTCCCGACTGTTTATAGTCAGCGGACGCTGTTCCTGCTCTGTCCCGACTGTTTATAGTCAGCGGACGCTGTTCCTGCTCTGTCCCGACTGTTTATAGTTAGTGGACACCGATCCTGCTCTGTTCCGACTGTTTAGTTAGTGGACACCGTTCTTCCTGGTTGATGTTTTTCTCTCACTTTCCACTTAGATCCTTTTTGTGGGGAGGATATGGAGACAAGTTCTTGCCCTAGAGCAGCCCAGGCTGGCCCTAAAACTCAACTGTAGCTCAGGCTGGCTTCAAGCTTAGTGATCCTACCACTGGGTGCTGTAATCCCAGGTGTGCAATTCCAGGTGTGCAAACCACACCTGCTTTCACGACACCTTTTTGTGTCTTTGCTCTGTGCTGTTTCACTTTATGTTCTACAAATACTTTGCCCTGGCAGTCATGCTTTAAAGCAATTCTAATCCTTTTCAGTTTATGACGATTGTGAGACCACACCCTCCCCTGGTGAGGATTCTTGAACAGAATCACACTGGCAGCTTTGGTGGGGTGAAATACTCTTCTGCAAGTGTCACTTAAGCCAAGTAAGCTGTAGGGTGGTGTTGCCCAAGTCTCCTGTATGAGGCAGGAGAGATGGAGCCAAACCCAGAATACATACAGGGTGTACAGAGAGACGGGTGTACAGAGAGATGGATGTACAAACGGATGAGTGTACAGATGGGTATACAGAGAGACAGGGGTGTACAGAGAGATGGATGTACAAACAGATGGGTGTACAGACAGGTGTACAGATGGATATACAGAGAGACAAGCATACTGAGAGACAGGGTGTACAGACAGTGTACAGAGACGGGTGTACAGAGACAGTGCACAGAGAGACGGGTGCAGAGAGACGGTGTACAGAGAGACAGTGCACAGAGAGACGGGTGTACAGAGAGACAGTGTACACAGAGACGGGTGTACAGAGACGGGTGTACAGAGAGACAGTGTACAGAGAGACAGTGCACAGAGAGACAGTGTACAGTTTTTGCAACGGGCTGAGAAGCCCAGAGTCGGCAGTGAGTCAGCAGCTCGTGGCCCAGGAGTGCTGACAGTGCGACTCCAGCCCAAAGGCAGGCACGAGACTCAGTGCCATTGCTGCCAATGACCATAGCCAGCTTTTGCTGCGGGTGCGGGAAACCCGCGCTTGGGTGTTGGGCTGCGGAGCAGGCACCTCAGTGACTGAGCCCTCCCCCAGCCCCTAGTTTTGTCGCTCTCTCTCCGTCTTCTCCATTTGTCTTACTCTCTGTGACTTTATCCTGTGCTGCTTAGGGTGTCTTTTCTAAGGATATACACTTACACCATTTGAGCCAGGCAGTGGTGGTACCTGCCATTAATCCCAGCACTCGGGAGGCAGAGGCAGGCAGATCTCTGAGTTCGAGGCCAACCTGGTCTACAGAGTGAGTTCCAGGACAGTCAGGGCTACACAGAGAAACCCTGTCTTGGAAAAAAAAAATCAGAATGAGGCATTATTTACATAAGCAGAAACCAACAATCAGTACAAAATCTAATGATTTATAGCACAGCGTAGTTATGAGCCACCACCACACTCAAGGACAGGACACTTTCATATCCCTGTGCAGCATCACCCCTGCATCTATGGCCCTGGACACCAGTGGCCTGTGCTCTCCACCAGGCTTTCCACAGAATCGTATAAAGGTGTAATCATGGTGTGAGGCCTCTGTGCTTGGCCTCTTTAATGGAGCACAGTACCTTTTGGATTCATTCATGTGGTTAGGGGCATCAACAAGTCACTTCCTGTAATCTGAGAAGATTGTCGCTATTTCCAGTTTGGGGATATTACTGGGGGGCGTGGAGCCCCATTGCCAACATCTGCAGACATATCTTGTGTGTGGAGCGTACTTTAGAAGCTGCTTCGACTTTCAAAGTTGTTTCCCATCCCACCCAGTGGCGCCATGTCATTGATGCTTATTCCCTGTTATAAAGCAAGCCATAGATTCTAACTTTTTTAAAGTCGTCTTGTTTTCTGATTTCTCCTCCGATGAGTTGATCTGGTTATCTTGACCCATCTCAAACAGCTGATTTTTCGCATATCTGGCATGTTTTGTCCGCACTTAGGCTTAGGGCTGAAGAACTACATTCTAATACCTGGCATAAGTCTCCTGACTCAACACACACACACCTCCAATACACTACAGATTTGTTTCTATTAATACACCTCCGATGTCATTTTGGTGGGTTTTGACAAGGAAGAAATGGAGGTGTATGTTTGGTTCACCATCAGTTCGTGCAGTTACCATGCTGACAGTACCTGGCAGAGGTAGATGCTCAGATATTTGCTGGATGTAGAATTATTCCACTGTATAACTATATCAGTACTTACGTCAACCCTTTATTAGATATAGAACTTAACGCAATTCCATAATCCACATTTAGGTTGTTTCCAGTCTCTTTATTGAGAATTTGGGTGTCATATGTAGATTCATTTTAAAAGGGGGAGACTGACAATAGATGGAGATGAAAGGAATAAAGGACAATGGTAGAGACAGATGGAGAAGCAAGGAAACCCCGAGAGGTGAGGGGGTGGAGGGTGAGGGTGGACATGAAGGAGGTAACGAAAAGAACAGATGTTGTCTGAGCAAACCTCCACAGGATGAAACCGTACAGGTGTGGTTGTTGGTCAACAGTGTGCACACTGGCAGAGCAACCCGTCCATCTTGATAGGCCGCAATGGCTGTGTCTGAGAAGGGCCTTCCCTCGTGACCAAGTCAGTTCTCAGCGAGTCACAGCAAAGGCCATGGCGTAGCACCTCAGACAGGTATGGACATGACTATGACTAGGGAAGTTAGCCGGCTCAACACATCAGGCCACAGGGGCTGAGGCAAGCGGCCTGCCTACACCACTGTCTGCTCAGGCCATCTATTCTCAGCCACAGACTGGTCCTTGCAAAGGTTAACTGTAGCTTGCCCACTGTCCAACCTCTGTCAACGGGCTAATGAAAGACCAGAAGGCAGGAGGTCAGGCGCATAGACCACTGGAGAGGTGATTAAACATGTAGGCACTATCACTGGCTTCAAACTGATTCCCTGTAACCTGGGGGAGGAGCCAGGCAGCATGGGAAAGGGTACGTCAGGAGGCTAAATTCCAATTCCAGTGTAGTACTTACTGCCTGTGACCTGGACTGTCACAATGTCTCTGGGCCAATTGATTACCTCTAAACGGCCTGGTGCTGAGGTACGTAAAGCGCCTGAACAGAGGATGGCAAAGAAAATGCTGGCCCACAGCAGCTGTTTGAGGGGGGTGGTAGGGCGCAGCATGTGTGAACCTCGGATGTATCTATCACAAACGGACACTTGAAAGGGAGTTTTCAAGGAAGGGCCTCACTCTATAAACCAGGCTGGCCTTGAACTCTTAATCCTACTGCCTTAGGTCTCTTTCCCCAGTGCTGGGATTCCAGACACACACTACCGCGTCTGGCCTGAGGTTTCCTCCTGTTTTTCCCCACCCTGCCGCCTCAGGGTACCGCCTTCTGACTACCCACCTGCTCCCAGATGCCAGTGCTCTGGGCATCCATACATTCCCCAAGGCCTCCACAGTCTCTGGAAACTTCCCCTCGGAGTATAAAGTTTGAGAAGCCACGAGCCAGCTCCATCAGACAGTCCTGTGCCTGCCCCCGCCCCTCCCCCACCAAAGAGCCGAAGTCAACAGCCTAAGAACAAGGCATGGAGAGGGGAGATGGCCATTTCCAGGAGAGGTGTAGCAGACACAGCTTTATGCTGCCTGAGGTACAAACCTGCACTCCCCACAAATGTCAATTACCCCTTACCACATCCACATTACCATCCCCGGAATAACGTGGGCAAATCCTGGTTTCTGCAAAGCGCGGAAGTGGCCTGCACCCCTACGTAGCCATATGCAGAATGACATCATCTGACACCTGAAACACTCTGCCATCTCCCGGCGGTCAAAAGTGAGACCACAGGACTAACTAAGACAGGAAACCTGCTAAAGACCAGTGGCCCTTACGGGGCTTAGCTCCTACCAGGCCTTGGAGCCATGAAGATCAATCACGCTAGCTGAGGTGAGCTCGGGGCTGCTCGATCCCAAGCAGGGGAAACGATGACTCCCTGGGCTCCGGAGCTCGTCCTGACTGCTGAGCGTGGCAGGTCAGCGAACAGTGAGGCCCAAGCTGCTTGCCTCCGACCCTCCCGGCCCGCGCCCCACCGCAAACGTGCTCGGGGCACCGCAAACGTGCTCGGGGCACCGCAAACGTGCTCGGGGAGCAATGACCTCTGTTCTCTGGGAGTCGCCCACATCAGCACCCTTCCCGGCATCCCTGGCGGCCGGGTCGCCCCCCGTCCCAGGTTCCACGTCCGGATCCGAGTGCCCTGAAAGATGCGGAGTTTAGTTCCAGGATGGACTCTGGAAGCGAGGACGGGCATGCGGGAGTTCTGTGTGAAACACACCGCACGAGGCAACAGGGGTTACAATCCTGGCAGCCGGGAAGAGACCGCAGAGGAGCGGACACACCGTGACTTGTTAGAAGTGACTTCCGGTGTGCGGACTGCGCGTGGCCGGAAGTGACGTGATTCCTACGCGCCCGCCTGCCGCGGGTGAGCGGTCCGCGCGGTGTCTGGGGCCAGGGGCTCGCAGGAGGGCCGCGTCAGGGCTGCCGTCTGTGGGGCGGTGAGAAGCGGCGGGGAGCTGTGCAGCTGTGCGCAGGAGCGCCCACCAGAACTCTCTCCACCAGCGGCCTGAGCGGAGTGGGCTCTGCGTACCCCCTGCCTGCCTCTTACCCAGAGCCGAGAGGGACACGGGCGACGTTGGCTTCCGCCCCGGGAAGCAGCTGGAGATGCTTGGAACAGGGAACACTTGGAGGTTCAGCCTCTTAGCACGGACTTCGCAGAGGCAGGGGAGGGTGCTGTCTGAAGGTCCTTAGCCTGGGTTTCTCTGTAGAAAACAGATCTTAGCTCTCTTCATGTCTCTAAGAACTGTAACCAGGTGAAACAGCGTCTGAAGGTACTTGGAACGCAGAACAAATGTGTGTGACTATCCTACCTGCATCCCAAAAGATGACGGTGTACAGGGCTAGATGCACATCAGCAGTAGGTCTATGTTAAAACCAGTGCCCGGTTCTGACCTTTTATTCAGATTAAGTTACACATCATAGTAGTCGTTTCACGCTTTTAAAGGTGACCTTTTACATTCGGTGGTTCAGGCAGTGTTTTCATGTAGTTATGTAACCACTAGGTAATTCCAGAACACATCATCTGGAAGAGAAACCCCTTATCTATTTATTAGTAGTCACTCCTCAGACCTAAGCTCCAAGTTCCTCCGCTTTCTGTCTGGATTTGCCGGGCATGTTACATAGGTGGATTCATGCAATACATGGCCTTGTCTAGCCTGTCAGTGTTCAGGGCTCATCCATGTTATAATGTGTATGAACACTCAGACCTCTTTATGACTGAAAAACACACATCCCATCTTATTCCTCAGTGAATGGACATTTTGGATTACATTCACTTATAGGTCGTTATGAGCAGTGCTGCAATTAACACGTATGCAAAGGTTGTGATGACATATTTAACGTGTGTGCACCCATGCCGAGTGTACATACATGCACACCCCAAAGAGTGTTGAATCCCCTGGAGTTACAGGTGATTGTGAGCTACCCCACTTTAGGTACTGGGAATTGAACTTGGGCCCTCTACAAGAGCAGCCACGCCAGGCAGTCAAAAAAGAAGCAGACATCCTCAGTGTGATTGTCTTAAGGGGAGAAAGCCTTCAATCTCTAGTATGTTAGTACCACATTCCATAGTAGTTATTTCCAGTCAGTGTTTTTGGTTTTTGTTTTTGCAGTACTTTAATTAGCGTAGAGCTTTATGCTTTCTAGTCGACTTCGCCCTACCCTCTTAAGAATTTTGTGTTTATGCCTGTGAGTAAATGCCACATGCATGCAGGTACCCACATAGCAGAGGTGTCAAATCCATAAGGGCTGGAATTACAGGTGTTTTAGCCAGTATGGGGCTGGGAAACACACTCAGGTCCTCTGCAAAAAGACTTAAATTCTTTTCGATTTTAAGGTGTATGTTGACCTTGCATTTATGTGCATCCCATATATGTACATACATGCCCTAAGAGACCAAAAGAGGGCATCAGTATTATTATTCAGCTGTCATGTATGCTATGAACAGAACCCAAGTCCTCTGGCAGAGCAGCCAGCATCCTTTAAACTTCTTAAAACTGTCCCCCAAATTGCTCAGGGTGGCCTACTTCAGCTTCCAATAGCCAGAATTATGGCGGGTGCCAGGAAGCAGCTTGTGTTTTAAGTGTCCACTCTGGCGGCCCACCTTGTTTCTTCTGCTTATGGTAAGCTGAGTCACTCACTAGTAATCACTTCTCATCTGCAGCCACTTTCCCCAGAGAACTAAACACGCCGTATTTCTAAACCCACCTACATGGAAGGCAGCATTGTATACCAACTGATTTACCCATAAAATCCAAAGACCAGCAGAGGTCCTGGCTCAGGCAGATCTAAACTCAAGGCCAGCCTAGTCTAGTGTTCCATGACAGCTAGAGCTATACATAAAAACTGTCTCAAAAAGACTTAAAAAAACAAAACACCTTAGACCTTTACAAGATTATCCCCTTTCCACTGATGTATGATTTGCACACTGATCCCCAGCATTGGACATGGGGAGCATAACTTTTTTTCTGAGACAGGGTTTCTGTGTAGTTTTGGTGCCTGTCCTGGATCTCGTTCTGTAGCCCAGGCTGGCCTTGAACTCACAGAGATCCATCCACCTGGCTCTGCCTCCCGGAGTGCTGGGATCAAAGGCGTGCGCCACTGTATGTATGTGTCAGGTCTCCTGGAACTAGTTTGTTGTGAGCTGCCATACGGGTGCTGGAGGAGCAGCCAGTGCTCTTAACTTCCAGCGCCCTATATGAGGGTAGGAAATGGGAAAAACTACCCAAGCACCCAGGGACCATGTCACCTGAGCCTCCCCCCTCGTGGTCAACACGGCAGCAGACAGGCTTCATTGATTTCTTTCAGCGCCTTCCCAGCCCCTAGGGTGGCTGGATGGGTGTTTGGTGAGCTGAAATCTGACAGGTTTGTAGACTGCTGCCAGCATGTGCCTGTGCATGCTTGGTATCCTTGGAATTAGAGGTGGTTGTGAACAACCATGTAGATGCTAGAAATCAAAGCCTGGTCAACTGCAAAAATACATGTGCTACCAAGTCATCTATGCAGTGTTGTTTAATTCAAGTTACATTGGACCTTTTCTTATTCTAAATACAGACACAATTTGTGTTCATTGGGGAGAAACACTTATGAAGTGGAAAACACACCCTTGACCCCACAGAGCGCTTTCCCTTTCATGCTGTGGTCCAGGTGTAGAGCTTTCTCAGATGCCTTGCTGTACATACTGCTGTCTTTTGTAACCAAGTGTCTTAGATGGCCTGTCCCTAAAGCTTAGCTGGGTTTTGGGAACTTGTACCCCACACTAGATACCACCTTGCCCAGGCTTGACCCAAGGGGAGGAACTCTGGGCCTGCCTCAACTTGAGGAGGTGCCAAGCTTTACCTCAAGCCCACAGGAGGCCTGCCCCCTTGAATGGAGGCAGGAGTACAAGGGGAGGGGGGAGTACTTGGGGGAGAGGAAACTGGCTGGTATGTAAATTAGAACAAGATTCTTCCTGACAGCCTGACCACACCCACAGAAAAGGCCCCTTTCCTTCCTAGCTGTCTTCTGAGCCTGTCTACAAAGCTACACCAGGTCTTTGTGCTTCATATTCTGCTATCATGGCCATACTGAACATCCCAAAAAGAGAAACACTCCCCCTTCCCCAAAAAACAGCCAGGCCCATTGGTTATCAGACAGATGGTCTTTTATTGAAATATTCTCTCTTGTTGCTTCTTAACTCTGTGGAAAACGGAGGAAAATTCACAATCACAATGGGGAACACACATTACAAAGAATTTTCACCCTTTAAGGATGCCCCAATAAGACACCAGAGGCAACCAGAGCCCCGCTGCCCCCACTCTAACAAGGGGAATCAGGCAAAGTCACTTACAGCTGGGCATTCCACCACACCACTGTTGATGTCGTCAATGATGTCATGAGGATGGCGCCCGTCCACATTGCAGCCCACAGACTGTGCAGTGCCCAGGATCTCTTTAATAGTTCCTATATAACAAACAAAAGTGGCCTCAGCAGATCTCAGTTCCTTGCAACTCTTAGACTGAGGGGCAGAGGGAAAAAAAAACATGGCTCCATGGGCTTCCGTGATGCTCAACTAAAAAATTTGCATCCTGCTGGGTGGTGATACACACCTTTAATCCCAGCGCTTGTGAGGCAGAGTTCAAGGCCAGTTGGGTTTACAGAGCTAATTCCAGGACAGCCGGGGATACAGAGAAACCCTGTCTCAGAAAAGTGCATGCCAATCTTGGGCCTTCAACAGCCGTTTAGTGAAAATAATTTGCTCTTACCAGAAAGTTCTCTGGCTAAAGACCGGTGTCGCATCTGCCGGGCAATGTTGACGATCTCGTCGAAAGTGATGTTTCCACTGTGTTTAACTGCAGGGAAGAAAAAAAGCTTTAGTTCAATCTGAGACAAGACCCCATGATTTCGTTTTCCCTATTTCTGGGCTGTCCCCATGCTTTCGGCACAGAGTCATCCACATGGAGGACAACCCTGTTTCCTAAGCTGGGATTTCTGTCAGCTCACCACTGGATTGCACCAGCCAACAACGCTGGTCAGGTGCAGTGGCGGGTGGCTAGGGTGCAGCCGACACTAGGGTTATTTCTGCACCCAGAGGACGAGGCAGGGGACAAAGGGCCTGAAGTGAGCCCATCCTGACCCATTTAGAGGGAACTAAATGCCAAGCAGCAAACACTGGAGGGGAACCCCGGAGTGCAAATCGACTCACTGTTCTTCTGCTTCTTTCTGTCTCTTGGTGGCTCCTTGAGGGCTTTGATGATCAGGGCAGAGGCAGAGGGCACCACCTCAATCTGCAGGAAATTAAGTTAATAAGCACAGTGCAGGAATCCTCCAACACCAATACCGCTACCAAAACATGCTAACGGAGCCAGCAAGACAGCTCAGTGGGAAACAGTATTTCTTGCTGGGCCTGACCACGAGTTTAATCCCTAGGCCCCACACGTGGAACCCTGCACCCTGGCTCCTACACCTCCAGAACAGCCAGATCCCATGACTGTCCAAGGCCTGCCACCCCCGCCCTCCCGACACCCAGCAAAGCGAATACCTGGGCCTGTCTGTTCTGGATGGTCAGCTTCACTGTGATCCTCAGGCCTTTCCAGTCTCCGGTTGCCTTGGCAATGTCGTCACCAACTTTTTTTGGAGACTGTGGAAATAATGGCAATAAAATAATTACCACGTGCCCGAAGTTGAAGGCATAGCCTTCCTCATCACTCCACATAATCGTGCCCAAAGACCCCCAAAGCTCGTTTACTAAGCCAGCTCCGTCCCAAGGGCACAGCAGCAAATGCCTTCAGCCGCAGTGGGTAACCTAGAGCTTCGCTGCTGGGTTACCATGTTACCAGGCGGGTGCGACCTTAAAGGTGCACAGGCTGGCCACAGGGATTTTACTAGCCACTCACCGACTCCACTGCTCCACCTAGGAACCAGGTAAGAACACTACTTCCTGTCCACCAGGCACATGGTGCTGTTTGAGCTTCCTCTTTACCTCCTAGAGCCCATGGGCAAGTCTGCGAGCTGGCTCAGCCAAGCCCGGGGACTGCCACAACTGTGCCGAGGCACGAGCCCATAAGCACTCATCTCAACTTTCCTTTGTAAGTGTTAGAAACAAGTCAAAACGGGGCTGCAGAGGGCCCGGGTTCGAGTCCCAGCACTCTCCCGGTAGCTGGCCCACATGAGGCACGTGGTGCCTTGACCTCCACAGGCACAGTCACGCAGTCCGCTCTCGCGGTAAGTACACGTACACGTACGTACACACACACACAAGCTCTCGGCAGCGCCCACTTACCAGACCCAGGGGGCCGATCTTGGGGGCCAGGGCGGACGTGGCGCCGACCTCACCTCCGGTGCACCTCAAGTACACTGAGAAAAAGCACAATTAGACCTCCTGCGGGGCGCGCCGGGTCGCCCTGGGCTCGGGCCGCAGACCTCCGGGGCCAGGCCTTACCCTCAGGCGCACAGGCTGCGGGGGCGTCGGTACTCCCTCCCCATCTACACTCGAGGAGGCCGAGGCCCGCGGCAGACCCGCCAGGCCCGGAGCCAGGCCCCGGGACGGCGCGCGCCGGGGAGGGCGCCCCCCGCAGCCCGGCCGCAGCCAGGGCACGCACCGACTTTGATCTCGTTGGGGTCGAACTTGGGCGGCATGGTGGAGGCGGCTGGTGTCGGATGAACCCGGATTCGGGACGACCGAAGAGCGTTGCACCGTGGCCTCCTCCGAGCCGAAAGCCGAAAAGGCGGCCGCCGCCCCGCCCACGCCGGATATAGGCAGGAAAGCTCGGCTCTCGCGATAACCGCCGGCTCCGCCCCGTGTCGGGGCGACACCCTCGCCGCCCTGTTTTTTGTGGGCAGGCGTTTGCGGCAGAGGACTGGAGAGCCGGGTTCGTGGGTGAGCCAGGGGTTCGGAAGGGGTGGACGTTCGGAGCACTTTTCCCGGGCCCAGTCAGAGTAGAGGGGCTGCCCCAGAGGCCCTGGCGCCTGATGTAGTCCACCTTCCTTACAGGGGTGACTCTGGAGTCGCAGGACCCCGCCCCGCCCCTAAGGAATCCGCACCAGGCTTGCGGGACCCCAGTGCCAATGCTGCCCTAGTACCCTCCTTACCCATTGCTGTGTGTGCATGTTAGTTATACGAGCAAACTATTCCGGTCTAAATCACGATCTTAATTCTGCAGTGCCTTGGTTTCTAGAGTCGCAAGACTTTGTCATCCTGAACTGCATGATTTTATGAGATTCAGAGTTTCGGTCCTAACTTCCTATGTTGGAAGGAGACCGGACTCCAGCCGGCCTTCCTGGTGCCTATGGTCTGCATATATGACCAAGCCTTCAGCGTGACTGGCCTACCTTGAGGTCCACCCCAAAATCGGAACATCAGTGAAGGACCTTTCCATCCACAAAGCCAGGTCAGCCACTGGCCAGCTCTGCCAGGGAAGGATGGGTGTGGTTCTCCCAACCAAGCTACACCGTCAGGGAGGTTCAAACCAGATCTGAAAGAGCCCGTGTTGAGAATGACTAGGGAAGAGGACTTGGGGTGGAGGGTGGGAGGTAGTCATTGAATAGGAGTTCCCTTGGAGGATAGGGAGGGGGGAGAGCCAGTCAGTAGCAAGCAGAAGGTAAGTCATCCATACGGGATGGAGGAGGGCTGTTTTACATCATTCTTCAGGAGTGCCAGCAGGTGAGTGGGGAAAGAGCTGGCTCTGCAGACCTGACCACCTCCCCTGACAGCCCACAGCCAGGAATGGAGGTCTGAAATCTCTAAGGACGCAGGATGTGATGTGTCTTCAACGGCCAGGCTCCTCTAGCCCTTTCTCCTGGCACCTGTAATACTTCCTGAATCTATTTGTCATAATGCACGTATGTGGTGCACTCTGTGTCAGATTCTGTGGCACAGGCCTGACATGCATGCATCACTGAGTCCCACAGAACCCACTGTTGGCAACATTACTCCATGTCACATTTGAGGAAATAGGCTGTGTGGTGACCCCCAGTGACACAGCTGATGTCTTGGATGTCAAAGCCTATGATGTGAGCTACACACTCATTCAGCACTGGAAGTTGCAGATTCTGAGCCGGCTGTGGGCACCCAGCTCCTGAGTTCAGGACAGAGTGGTTAATTTTGCTGAACTGTGAAATCCAGGGGGCTTCTCAGACCGCACAGCATCAGGGTTTGACCAGCAAGCATCCCGGGCTGGTTTTTCTGTAATCCAGGTCCTGTAGCCAGATCACTGAACTTAGTAATCACCATATTCCCCACAGGAATCCGCACCAGGACTGTCCCCGCAGGGCAGTCGTGACAATCAAGTGAATGCTAGCTTCAAGGGTGGGAAGGTGCCTGAAGGCTGCGTTTTAATTTTTATTTAACTCATACATCTCTTTAGTCTTGGCATGGTTGAATTTCCCCTGAGTCGTGGCTACTTCCAGTTTGGATTTGCGGGGCCACTCTGACAGTTTCATCAGCTGAGTCTGTCAAGGGTTCCAGAGAACATCCTTGGAAGGCACCTGGGGGACTCCTCCCTAAGGTGGAGAAAATGGCTCCCCACTGGGAGGTGATGTCAGCACCTCCCAGAGGGTCAATGGCAAAGGAGCCAAAACCCTGGGCACCTGGCCTGTGTTAAAGTTCTTTCCACCATAGTCTGTGTTTATGGCTTCGTGTGGGCTCAGGGCCCAGCTGAATGGGGCAGACAGCCCCGCCCGCAGGGCACTCCCACCAGCTCACCAGCTGCCTGCATCTATGAGCTGCCCGGCTGCAGTGTCTGTCAGATGCGGTGCAAGTTCCCAGGTGTGACTTCCCTCTCATGCCTCCAGTGTCCAGAACTCACACAGGAGGATGCCCCTTTTCTTTCGGAAGCGGAAACCCAGTGAGGAGGCTCGGAAACGCCTGGAGTACCAGATGTGTCTGGTAAGGCAGGTGTATTGTCTCTCCCTTCTCTGCCCCCTGAAATGTCGCCGGGTGCTTGCTCCTTCCCTCTGCCTTCCCACCCTGGGAGTGCCCTTCCTCACAGGCTGAGTGACCTCAGACAGTCACTGGGCCACCTGCCAAAGGGACAGTAAACGCTGGCTATGGCTTGGCTGTAGCTTTGCTGTGGTCCCTTCCAGCTCCTTCCTCCTGAATCTCCTTTCTTATTTTCTCCATTCCACAACTGTGTTTTGCCTGAGTGTTTTTTTTTGTTTGTTTGTTTGTTTGTTTTGGGTGGGGGGAACTGAGCACGGTTCCCAAAATACATGGCTCACACCTGTAATCCCAGCACTTAGGAGTCCGAGGCAAGGAGATTGCCGCAGGTTCAAGGCTAGCAAGGGCTACATAGTCGGTTGCAGGCCGGCCTGAGCCGTGATGTGAAAACCAGCTGTGCTTGCCTCACCGGTAGCAGAGGGGCTGTGTTCTGTATCCAGCACAGCCACGGAGGGCAGATAAAAGAGCAGGAGTTCAGGAAGGCATTGCCGAGAGCAACCAAAAAAAGGGGCTGGAGAGATGGCCCAGCGGTTAAGAGCACTGGCTGCTCTTCCAGAGGACCTGGGTTCAATTCTCAGCACCCACATGGCAGCTTACAACTGTCTGTAACTCCAGATTCCAGGGAATCTGACATCTTCATACAGACATACATGTAGGCAAAACACCAATGCACATAAAATAATAAATAAATCATTAAAAAGTGTTGTTTTTTTTTTTTTAAGAACGTTCAAGGCTGAAAACAAAGCCAAACTAGTTACCATCGATTTTAAGAGGCTAACACCATGAATATGAAACGCTCACAGAATCAACAGATTTTGTAAACATACAGAAGGATTTTTTTCGGGGATGGGGGTAGGAGTAGCCCTGACTGTCCTGGAACTTGCTCTGTAGCCCAGGCTGGCCTCGAACTCAGAGACCCGCCTGCCTCTGCCTCTAGAGTGCTGGGATTAAAGGTGTGCGCCACACCAGGAAACTTGAAGATTTTTAAAAATCCACTCTCCCTCCCTCCCACCCTCCCCCTCCCACCCTCACCTGTGCTGGAAGCAGGGGGATCAGAAGTTGGAGGCCAGCTTTGTCTACATGATGAGTTTGAAGCTACATGAGACCCTGTTTCAACTTAAAAATGTCTATTTCACCTTAGGCAAAAGAAGCTGGGGCAGATGACATTCTCGACATCTCTAAATGTGAACTCTCCGAGGTAAGGTGAGGGTGTGCAAAGACTGAATTTAACCTGTCCTGCGTCCGTGAGGAAAACAGGTGTAGACTGAGACTTTCAAAGTGCCAGGAGTGCAGGCGGGTGGGTGGACCACCAGTGAAGCACTTGCCTTCTGAGCGTGAGGACATGAGTCCCCTGGGGCTCGCTGGCCAACCATCCCAGCTGAGTCAGTGAGCTCTGAGTTCAGTGAGAGACTCTGAAAAACTCAAGGCGGGGAGTGAGACACCTGACATCTCGCCTGCATAGAGTGTGTGCACACAGACGTAGCCAGACCAACATTGCCATCTTGTCCAAAAGAATTGAAATGATCTTTTGACCTCAGCATAGTCTCCCAGAGTCAGGGCCTAGTTCAGAAATGAGCCAGGTGTAGTGGAGCACACCTTTACTCCCAGCGTAAGGAGGCTTATGAGTCTGAGGTCAGCCTGGGCTACATAGTAAACCCTGGAGAAAGGCCGGAAGGGAAATCTGGGGATAAACTCAGTGGTAGAGTTTGTCTAGCATGCAAGATGCCCTGGGTTCAGTCCCCAGAATGGGAAGAAGGGAAAACATTACGGATTCCTGGGGTGCTGGGAGAGAGGGCTGCCCCCTGAAGTTCCTGATACCCCAGAGTAGGTAGGCTAGGGCGGGCTGAGTGCCAGCTGTTTTGCCCCAGCCCGCCCCTGGCTGAGCACTGTTCCGGGGGCAGTGGCTTACACTCCTCAGTCACCTCCCAGCATGCCACTGGGAGGGCAGTGGGGACAGCGGCAAGTGAGGAGGCTCTGACCCTTCTTTGTCTGGTCTTAGATTCCGTTTGGGGCTTTTGCAACGTGCAAAGTTCTGCAGAAAAAGGTGAGCAGAGTCGTTGTTCAGAGAATTGCTAGCTGAGTGTCTGCTTGGGGGAAGCCACACGGGACTTAGAGGCGCCTCACGCGGCCGTCTTCCTTCTCTCTGGCCCTCACCCTTTGGTCTGCAGTAGAGGTTGTCACAATCAGAAGAGCAGGCTCTGGGGTTGGACCGCTCTGGGCCACTCCTGGCCCTGGCTTCACCAGCTTTGTGACTCCGCTTCTTTACACGCTCACGCCTCTGTTTCTTTCATTAACTTTCAGTGTTTCGTGTGTATGGGTATTTTGTTTGCGTGTATTTTTGCGTCACGTGTGTATGTTGCCTAGGAAGCCCATCAGACTCTCTCGAACTGGAGTTATAGCTGGCTGTGAGCCACCATGTGGGTCCTGGGAATCACACCTGGGTGCTCTGGAGGAGCAGTCAGTGCTCCTAACTGCAGAGCCAGCTCCAGCCCACACACCGTTCTCCTCATCTGTAGAAGGAAGAAGACATTCCTAGCTGTCTCGTGATACTGTGGGAATTGAATGAGTGCTAGAGTCTACCGCCATGCAGTTATCACCTCCCCCAGTGTCCTTAGAGAAAGGACACTCAGTGCACTCTGGCCACCCCTCAGAGTTAGAAGGGCCTGAAAGTGTTTCCAGAAGGTCGCTCCAGGCTCTGCACATAGGCGGGTTCGTCCGCACCCTTAGATCTGGACACAGAAAGGTAACATGTGTTCCCTGCCAGCAGCATAGTTGAGGCGGGAGTTAATGTCGGACAGAAATGGCTGTGGTTGACACAGTCTGAGGGGTGGACCGTATGATAGCCTGGGCTAAACACTAGTCACCAGGTGGCTTGGTAATTATGGCAGCCCTTGGAGAAGGCCCTTTGTTACTCTCTTTTCCAGGAAAGATTAGAGCCAGGAAAGGCTAAGCTCATGATAGCTGCCCCCCTCTCAGAATAGAAGGTAGAATTAGACTCCCAAACTCCCTTTTCCCCCCAGGGATCTCGGACCTTGCAGCCCTCTGAGTCAGGCTCAGAAGTGCCCGTGATCGTAACAGCCTCCCCCAGGGTGGGTCTGGTGGACGCATGGAGCACAGCATGGCCGCTCTGTGCCAGGGCCAAGCTGCTTACCTCCCATCAGCCTCCCCTGCCTGCTGCTCCTCTGGGACCTGACTTTTCTCTCCTCTTTTTCTCACAGGTGTTGATTGTGCATACAAACCATCTCACCTCCCTGCTTCCCAAATCCTGCAGCCTCTTGAGCCTCGCCACCATCAAGGTACTGGGCCCTCTCTAGGCGTTGGGGACTCTGCTCCAGGTGACAGCAGTGCCTCCACACCCTCCTTGGGACTTGTGTTAAAATACGCCAAATGGTCCTCACAGGATGGTCACTGTGGTGTCTGAACAGCGTGGTTTTCTAAGCACTCCTGTGAGTTGTTGGTAAAGAAAACCAGCCCCAGCCCCTACCCACCAAGGGTTCCACTCCAGCTGGTCCTGAACTCAAGCCCCGACAGCAGAAAGGACCGACATGATGACCCTAACCAGGGGGAGCAGGAGGGGCATCCAGAGAGGTCATTGCATTTGATGCCTCAGTGAGCTGGTGGATTCCCTCCAGGGTACGGGAGAGTCATAATAGAGTGCAGTGTCGGCCCAGGCTGTCCTACATGAGTGTGACCTGGTAGGGTGGGACTGAAGTCCTGCACGCCCTCCCAGTACTCCATCCTTAGCTCCGACAGGTGGGGCGGGAATAGCTCTGCTCCATGTGTTCTTTTTTTTAGATGTGGGCTCACTGTGCAGTCCTAGCTGGCCTAACACAGGCTGTGTAGTCCAGTCTTACCCCAGACTCACAGAGATCTGTCTCCCTCTGTCGCATGAGTCCTGGAATTAAGGGTGTATGCCACCACACGCAGTGCTCAGTGCGTTAAGAGATTGATTTTTATTTCCTGTGTATGATTGTTTGCATCTCTGTATTCCGTGCACCACACACATGCCTCAGCAAGCCAGAAGAGGGCATCAGGTCTCCTGGAGCTGGAGTTACGGGCTATTGTGAGCTGTCCAGTGTGGGTGCTGGGAACCAAACTTGGGTCCTCTGCAGGAGCCGCTCTTAACTGCTGAACCTTCTCTCCACCCCTACTCTATGCTTGTTGTTGTTTGCTTTGTGTTTGTTTATTTATTATGTGTGTGTGAGCGTGCGTGCGTGCGTGCATTGGGAATCAATATACCCAGGCCCTCACACATACTGATTACTTGCTCTGCCACTGAGTCACACCCCAGCCCATGCATAATTTTTGTATTCAGTGAAAAGAGACCACTTAAGCCAGACGTGATATATCTGCACATATCTGCAGTCCTGAGCATTGGCAAAGAGGCTGAGGCAAGAGAATTGACCTAGCCTGGGCTACATTGTAAGAGCCTGCCTCTAATACCTGGAAGAGAAAGAAACACAAGAATATGAGATGCAGAGCTGATGGAGCTGCATGTGCGGCACACACCTCTAGTCCAGCAGATGCAGGCAGAGCTCTGTAAGTTCAAGGCCAGCCAGGACTGCATAGTGTGAGACCTTGTCTCAAAAAAAAAACAAAAACAAAAACAAAAAAAACAGTTGGGCATGGTGGTGCACACCTTCAGTCCCAGCACTCAGGAGGCAAAGGCAGGTGGGTATCTATAGGCCAGACTGGTCTGCGGAGTGAGTTCCCGGACAGCCAGGACTATGTAGAGAAACACTCCCCAAAAAATAAAACTAAAAGACAGAAAAGACCCCGAGACGGCATGCTGACCAGTGGGCATGAAGAAGGATGCTGTGGTGTGTGAGTCCTGCAGGAAGATCAAAGGATCGCTGCAGGATGAAAGCGGCCTTGCAGGCAGCAGAGAGGATCAGCCATGCAGAAGCTGATTTCTTGACAGTCACACAAAAGTTGTTTTTAAAATAAAACAAGTTCCTTAGACCAAAATCGAGATCTAATCTCCATTTCTGGAAAGAACACCTCACCCTTCCATTTTCTGTTCTTAGTGTGCGCTGTTTGCAGTACTTCATAATGAAAGACGTTCCAGGTGTGTCAGGGCCATCACGTGACCTTGTCATGAAAGGCTGTGAAGGTCCTTCAGAGAAACAACTCTGTAGATATCAGAAAACAACCACTGTTTTCTATATTGATTTCTTCAAGGTCTAGGTACTTGCAGAAAACAGCTGGTTTGTTCTGTTGTTTAGACACAGCAACTCTGTTAGATTTCCTGCTACAGGTTGCCATGTTATTACCAGGGTATGGGGTGGCCTTATCATCTCCCAGCTGCTCTCTGGGCCTGACCGACGTGTTTGTTCTGTAGGTTCTGGATCTCCATGACAACCAGCTGACAGCCCTTCCTGAAGACATGGGGCAGCTGACAGCCCTGCAGGTGAGGCCCTGGGAGTCACCACTGGACCAGGACTTGGCTTGTACTTCATGGTATTTCATGGCTTCACAGCTCTCACTCCTCCCCACAAAAAGCCCAACCCCCAGTGGGTCTCCACCTTAAAGACAGATTCCACGACTGGAGAGATGCCTCAGCTGCTCTTGAGAAGGACCCTGGTTAGGTTCCCAGCACCTACATGACAGCTCACAACTTTCTGTAACTCCAGTTTCAAGGGACTTGATGTGCTCCTCTGGCCTCCACGGGTGCTGCATACAAGTGGTGCATAAGTTTTAGTACATCATTTTAAAAGGACAAATTCTGTACTCTCCTGGCTTCCCGATGCTTTGTCTGTAGCTGCCCTGCACTGGCTGAGTGCTTTATTTGGGGCTAGCCTGAGCTCTGCCTCCCCGTTGTTCAACAGTAGATAGCCGTATCCTAACCCTCCCTGCCTCACTGGGCCCCTGGCAGCCTTTCTGCCTCCCTGTTGCTTCATGCAATTCCTGGGCATTCTGCAGTGTGTACAGATGGTAAAACCTCAAGTGGGGGTGTGTCCGGGGGCCTGGCCTGGCTCTTCTAGACACATGACCTCTGTAAGTCTCAGTTTTCTCATCTCTTAGATGCGACCATAACAATCTCTACCTCCCTGTCAGGGCTGTAGGAAGAGGTCAAGGCAGGTATATTCGGTGCCTGGGTGACGGCAGGGCTGAGCACGCAGACATTGTTGTCCTGTGGGCTCCTTGCATGATCGTTTTCTTCCTTAGGTACTGAACGTGGAAAAGAACCAACTGACTCATCTCCCACGCTCTATTGGGAACCTGCTGCAGCTCCAGACCCTCAATGTGAAAGGTGGGGCCACAAAGCCCAGTCCATGTCAGCAGCTCCAGGGTCAGGCCAGCTTGTCCTTCCAGCCTCCACAGAGTGTGAGGGTGATGCCATAAGCCAGATTGACCTCCAGCTAGCCAGCCTGTCTCTGGTCACGAACCAGAGGCAGTGTGTCTAAAGTGCCCTGACCCCCAGAATCAGAGACTTGTGGGGCAGAAGGCAGAGTGTAGCGAGTGGTAAGCTGAGCGACGGGAAGAGGGTGGCCTAATGGGCAAAACGGAAGGAAGTGACTGGGTAGCTTGGGGCACTCAGTGAGAAATGCTGGCCCTGTGCATGTGACTGGCCTGGTAAGTCCCTGAGGCAGGCTCAGAGCTGTGGCCTGCTCGGGACCCCCACCCCTGCATTGAGGTAGTGATTAGCCAAGATACCAGCGTAGTATCCTCATCCTCCAAAGAGGACTTGCCTCACTGTGGCCAGGCTCTTCATCTCACTCTTGCGGCCCCTCAGCAGAGGCTCAGCCCATCGAGTGACTGATGGGAAGTAGTGGTGTTGTTACCGAGGAGAAGCCGTACAGGGAGGGAAGGCCAGGTGGCCTGAGTTGCTCAGCTTAGTAGTGACAGAGCCTCCCGGCCCCACATCCCCCCACCCCACCCCCCGGGTGTCAGGAGGTGGCCGCAGGCTTTGGGTACCGAGTTTGCCGCCTGGGTCCCTGCAGACAACAAGCTGAAGGAGCTTCCTGACACACTGGGAGAGCTGCGAAGCCTGCGTACCCTGGACATCAGTGGAAACGAGGTTCGGAGACTGCCTCAGATCCTGGCTCATGTGCGGACCCTGGAGGTAAGGGGCGTTCTCTCCAGTGCTCACAGAGACTGACGTGTGACCGCTTGTCATGTTGTGACTTTGCTGCCATCATGGAAGTGGGAGGGCGGAAGTCCAAAGTGACGGAGAACAGTTGAATCCAGAAGGTCCTCACTCTGTGGCCTTGAAGCCAGACTTTGAAGAGCAATGAGATTTGGGACATAGCCATGGAAATGGGGGTGTCCAGTAGGGAGAACAGGACACAGACGTAAGCAAGATGGAATGAGCTGTGGACAGAAAATAACAAGGCCAGAAATTTCTGTGCCTGGAGCCTGGGAAGCTGGGAATAGAGCAGGAGCGATGTGGAGAGCTGGGCTTCGGTGTGGAAACCACATCTCATCAGAGCATGTGGGTGAGCGTCCTGGGACCCCACGTGAGTCACCTCAGGGTGGAGATCCTCACACCAAAGGGGTTTGTGTCCTCACAGTCTGGTGAGAATCCAAGGCCCCACTGCTGACAGACAGGGTTGGTTCCTTTAAGGCCCCCCTCTGCGGGTGGCCTGTCCTTCCCAAGCCCTGGACGTCTGTGTCACATCTCCTCTTTCTGAGAGGACACCGGTCAGATTGGACTAGGGTCCGGCCTGGCTCTAAATGTAGTCACATTCTGGAGTCCAGGGGTTAGGACTCAGGGTATAAAGCGGGGACACAGCTCAGCCCACCACCGGAGCCAGCACCAGGTGGCCCGCCAGGGCAGTGGGCTCTTGGTCGTGACAGGGTGGCTTGTTGCTGCTCTAGCACTTTGTGCAGCTGAGGATGGCCTTGAACTTACGATCCTCCTGCTTCCACCTGCTGAGACTACAGATGTGCCCGGGCCTTTTCTCAGGGTGAGGGCACAGGCATTGTCTACAAGGCCATATTGTGTGCTGACTCCATTCCAAGCTGTCCAAAGTGACTAAGGACGTCAAGGCCCAGCACAGCTAAGTGACCTTGCTGGGGTTTAAAGCCAGGCTGAGTGTCTCAAGAGACAGACTACCCCTGCAGGGAACAGAAATGCTGTCATCCGTGCGGCCACCAAGAACTAACTGGTGGCTACCAAGCTGATGTGCGGTTCCTCTAGCCCAGGTGGCCTTAACTAATTAAAACTGCAACGAAGGGTGCTGTGACCATGCACCCCCGTGACCCTGATACTCGGGAGGCAGAAGCAGGAGAATCACAGGTTCCCATGCAGCCTGGACCACAAGATCTTGTCTCAAGAAACCATTGGAGCTGGGGCGATGACTCACTGGGGAAGTGCTGGCACAGGACCTGAACCCGGGGCCCCAGAGCCAGGCACCTCCAGTCCTAGCCCTGGGCGCAGAGACAGCAGGTCCCTGGGCCTTGCCAGCCAGCTAACCTAGCCAGCTTACCCAGTTCAGGCCAGTGAGAGATGATCTCAAAAACAGTCAGTGGTTCCTAATGAACACCACTCAGGGTTATCCCCTGGCCCTCCACACATACACACACGCATGTACACCCAGGCATGCACACACAACTCAAGAAATGTAAATGGCCACATGTGACTTCCAGCCACCGTACTGGGCAGTGTGGCCCAGAGTGCACACTCAAGCCACCCCAGTGGTGACTGGTGTCACCAGGTGGGATTAATGCTCTTTAGATCTGGCCTTGGCTGCTCCCTGGGTGCTCCTAGTAGGCAGGGGAGACTGTAAGCACCCAAGTTAGTAACAAAACCAAGCGCCGGGCTGTGAAGTGGTGTACACGGTAAGGGGGTTCTCTGTCCACAGACGCTGAGCCTCGATGCCTTGTCCATGGTCTACCCGCCTCCAGAGGTGTGCGCTGCTGGTGTTGCGTCTGTGCAGCAGTTCCTTTGCCGAGGTAAAGGCCGGCCACCCCGCTCCTCCCCACACCCTGTGGTCATCCCCTGCCACCAGGCTGGGACAGCTGAGACCAGCTGGTGCAGTCTGCCTGGTCAGAGGTCAGAGGTCAGTGAAGGATCACACAGGGACGTAAACACCCAGGCTGAGCTCAGGAAAGATTAGGGTCAGGAGTCTGCCTTAGGTTAGAGCTGGGGAAGGCTGAGAAAGCAACGTGGCCGACACCTGATGGGGAGCTGGGCCAGGAGAAGAGACCGTTTTTAGCAGAGGAGGCAAGTGCTAAGAGACCTGGAGGAAGGTAGGGAACCCGAGGTTCTGTGGAGAAAGAGCCGGTGTGGCTGGAGTGCTGAAGGCCCAGGAGGAAGGGTGGGGTGCGGCCCAGCAGGAGGCCTGGTTTCACAAAGATCACATGGTAAAGTGAGAAGTAACTGGAGTAAGGACTACAAGCTAGGCAGGCCCCTGGGGCCGCCGAGGGGACACCCTGGTGGCCTGGGCACCAGGAGGGAGCAGCTGTTGTCTGCTGTGGCTCCCGTCACCTGTGGCATCCTCAGCAAGCCTCTGGTCATCTGAATTATTCAGGATGTGGTACAAAGCGAATTGAAGGATCTTTTCAATATGCAGCTGATCCCAGATCCAATGGCCTGGAGCTGCAGGAAAAACCAACTCCAGTTCAAGGCCAGGCTATAGCACCTGACTGTCTCCAGAGAGGCTGGGGAAGCAGATGTGCAATTCTGTGCTGGCCTGGTAAACACGAAGCCCTAAGTTGGAGCCCCAGTACCACATAATGTTTGTGTGGTAGCACAGACCCATAATCCTAGCACTCCAGAGGTAGAAGCAGATATGTAGTGTTATATAATATAAATTATAGCTGGGTGTGGTACTGAGTACTTGGAAAGCTGAGGCAGGGAATTCAGCCTGGGTTACATAGTGAGTTCAAAGTTAGCCTGAGCTGTGGAGCAAGACTCTGTCCGTCTCCCTCTCCCACTTTGGATGTTACCGGCATCTGTTTGAGCTGAACATTCAGGCCTGCAGCTCAGTTCCCTGACTAGGTGTTTGCGCAGCAGCAGGAGAAGCCGGTTGCTCCCTAGCAATGTGACCCGTAGGAGACTGAACTGTTTCCCCCTCACATGTGAGTGCACACAGCATAGCGAACAAACTGCGTACGGCGAGCTGGAGTCTCTGCCAGAGAGAGGAGGTAGGCCTGGCCTGGCGTGTAAGGGTGTGTTTGCCTTTACATGGGCTTCAGTCTAGTACACATGAGGCCCTGGCTTTAGTTCCCAGCTGCTAAAATAAAAGAGAGTTTTCTGGGTAGAGTAATATCACCTATAATTTTAACACCTGAGGGAACAGAAGCAGGAAGATGGTGAATTTGAGGCCAGCCTAGGCTACCTACCGAGGCTCTCAATACCAAAGTAATGTTTTAAGAGTCTCTAATTTTCATTTAAACAGACATAAAAATAAAGAGTAAATTTGCACATGCTGACTACAGAACTCAACTATGACCTGTATTTTCCTCCCTAGGGGTGGAACTGGGGCCCACACACGGCAAGGGCTCTGCGCTCGTGCATCCCAGTCCTTTCTCTGTTTTCATTTTGAGACAGGGTCTTGCTGAGTTGCTCAGACTGACCTTGGACTTGCTCTGTAGCCCTGGCAGGCTCAGAACTTGCAGTCACCCTGATCTCTGAGTAGCTGGGATCATAGGCCTACGTCACCAGGCCTGACGCTGAGCAGTACTTAGCAGTGAGACCCAGCCTTGGGAGAGGAGAGTGGACTGAGCCAGCGAGGAGGGTGAGGGCAGCAGGAGCAAGCCGCCGGGGTGCTTCTGGCCAGCCTGTGCTCCTTCTCCCATAGAATCAGGACTGGAGTACTACCCCCCTTCTCAGTACCTGCTGCCAGTCCTGGAGCAAGATGGAGCTGAGAACTCCCAGGACAGCCCCGATGGACCCATAAACAGATTCTCCAGGGAGGAGGCTGAATGGCAGGTAAGAGAAGCTGGCAGCGGGGGCGTGGCTGCTCGGCTGTACCTGTGCAGGTATTGAGGGCTGTGTGGGGCGTTTACCCACCAACCCCACAGCTTCCCAGAGTTTTCTTGAGTGCAAGCAGCAGGAAATATTAGATAGAAGGATTTATATTGCGGAGATAAATAGATAGAAAATAAAGGATAGCCCCAAGAGGGCCTGGAACCTTTTCCAATGGGCCCCAGGGTATTTATAGAGATGCCAAGGGGTGGAGCAAAAGACCTCCCCCCCAGCACAGCCAAGTGCAGACCATCTCAGACACCTGCACTCAGGCCCGTGGTCCTAATCATCCTCTATGCGGACCTGCTGGGTAAAGCCACGAAGAACCCGAAAACAGGCTTCCACAGGTCCCCCTTTCTTAATATTTAAAAAAAGAACTATTAATAGCTTATAGCAATTTCCATAGCTGTTATACCTCCCAGTATGGAGTAGAGGATGATATAGATGGCATTTCTCTTTTGGATTAGGTCCAAGGTGACTACAGCAGTCTTAGCTGCCTCAAGCCCTTTCTAAACCAAAACTTAATGCAATCACAAACTTAAAGAATCCCTTAGCTTCATCATTACCATGAACAGGTTAACAAACATTGCTATACATAGTCACAGTTCTCCCAATCTTACAACTCAAAGCAAACTCAACAGAACCATTAGAATTAGCATATATGGTGCTATATATAGTCAACAATTTTCTCCGTCTTACAACTTGAACTCAATCATTTGAATTTTCTTGCTAACAGGACATAGGGAAAACTTCAATGTATTCACATCAAACTTAAATATTTCCTTAACTCCACAAAACCAGGGTGCATTAATACCAATAGGGCCGGGCGCCTTTGATCCCAGCACTGGGAGGCAGAGGCAGGCGGATCTCTGTGAGTTCAAGGCCAGCCTGGGCTACCAAGTGAGTTCCAGGAAAGGCACAAAGCTACACAGAGAAACCCTGTCTCGAAAAACAAAAACGAAAACAAACAAACAAAAAAAAAATACCAATAGGTTAAACATAATTTCTGCAAACATAATTCAACCTCATAACTCCTCCTTTTCTTTATAATTTAACAAAATCTCGAACCTAGTTAGAAAATACCCAAACTTATACAATTCCTACAAACCCACATTGAAAAGCAATATTCTCAATCTAACCATTAACACTTTGAAAACTTAGCAAAAATTCCAAAAGCAGTTTCTTAATAAAACTCTTTACACTTTAAAAGTAGTCTCTTAGTATACACCATTTGCATTTCTTACTAACAAAATATGACATTAATCCACTCAAACAACAATTTAAATTAAATAGACTAAGGAATATTAACTCTCCCTTTTCTTTATAATTTTTAAGCAAAATCTCAAGCCTGGTTAGAAAACCCAAACTTTTCTGTTTAAACAGTTCTATTTGTAACACAAAACTAGTTCCATAAGTAATTCCATTTTTACATAAACCATTCCAAGATCATTACTATAAGTAAACTCAAAATTGTCCCATTGCAATGAAATCTATTGTTCATTTCATTAAGTCCCAAAATTCAAATAAATTCTGGTATGAGCCTTCCAAATATGAAGAAATCCATAACCAAAATCGTTTTGTAGTTTTATCTCATTTTAACTTCAAAAAGTTCAAACAAGAAATAAATTCTGATATCAGGCTTTCACTTCAAAATATGAAGAGACGTTTTACAACCAAAACTTTTTGCAGTTAACAATTTTAGTTCAAACAAGCGTCTCTGCAACTTTTGTTCTCACAGATAGAGACCTTTTTAGGTACAGTAGTATTCTAAACCGCACCGTTTTTTATGTTAGCTCAGGTTTTTCTGTGTTGCGTCGATTTTCCACGGATCTCAGCTGCGGATGCTTTGTTGTCCTGGTTCTGGCGTCCGCCATTCTTAGCTTCTTAGCGGCTTCTGGAGCTTTTGAAAACCGCTCAGACTGACTACTTTGCAGTCTACTAGGACGCTACACCTTCTGTGTCTTGGGTTCTTTCAACCATATACATTAAGCATAGACTCACACTTAACATTTACACTTTTTTACAAACTCACATATAACATATTAACATCTACTTATTTATACTCCTTAAAGAAACTATAGAACTACTTTAGCAAATATATTTCTTATATATATATATATTTTTTTTCTCCTCAAATTGCTTTTGATCATGGTCTTTATCACAGCAACAGAAAACAAACACACTGGCCTTGAGTGAATGGCCCTCCCTTTCTCTCTGGAGTGCTGGATTACAGAGTGTGCTGGCACTTCTGATTTTTGCGGTACTGGGTTTAGACCTAGGGCCTTCTTCATACTAGACAGGCATTCTACCAACTGAGCTGTAGTCTGAGTCCTTCAACTTCTTTCTTTTTTTTTTTTTTTT